ATACTGCAGGACAGCTAAATATATGCTAGGCGCACATTGTCTAGCTTTGGGACGGGTTTAGTGGATACTGGCAAAAGAAAAATATTTAATGCAATAACTATTATTTTTTTGAGCATAACGTCATAAGTATACTTGTTCCACTAAGATTTCAATTGATAATATGGTAAAGTGGCGTAACTTGACTTACGACATCTGATACTGCAAAGTTTCTCCAGCCAAGTGGCGTAAGTGGACTTGCGCCCTTTTTGCTTTAAAATGAACCTCTAATTTGGAGTTAGAGCTAGACCGGCTGAATACGAATACGTTAAAAAGTCACTTTGTGACATAAGTGGACTTACGACAGTCTTCCCATTCGCCACAGAGTTGTGGTGCGGGGAGGACTGGCAGAACAAGAGCGGGCCGTTTTTCATGCTTCCACGAACAGAGCTAACCTGAGTTTCTCAGCGAACGCGCCATTTACGTTCCGCAGCACTTCACGACTATTTGATATGGTTCTAAAATCGTTTTAAGTCACCTAGATACTAAAATGCATTTACATTATTTGGTGCAATGCTGAAAACCTCAGAAGACTTCAAAAAGTAGGTGACAAGAGCAGTTTCAAAGGTCAAAATGAAAACTCCGGTATGTTTCCTAATTCCTGAGTTTATTCGGACTTTGCCAATTTCCGGACACATTCAGGGAGTATTCGTCCAAGCGCCTTTTATTTCTGAAGTAACATATCCAGGGATCTCTAAGAATGGATTTTGATCTGAAAATACTCCACTGTATTTCGTCAGAAGACGGCCTAAGTCGTTCTTAACTTTATCAAAAAGTAACGCCGAATCTGACGTCGAACTGGGTAGATATAGTGTATAATAATTCTACGTCCACAGCACTGCTTTAGGAAACAAAAATGTTCCCCACACCTTCCCCCACATCGTAAAAAGTTTTGTGGGAAATTGTTTTTGATGGGAACAACAATTTACTAGAAAATTTTGCACCCGGAACAATTTGGAAAATTAAAAATCCAAACATTTTGGAAACACAATTTTCGAATCTTTTCTCAAAAATTCAAAACTGTTTTTGAAAACGTCTTGCTTCTGAAATTTCCTTAAGTTTTGAAAGTCGCGTTTCAAAGTCAACCCTCCCTACGCACAAGTGGCTTTCTTTCTGAGCGTGGCAACAAACAGCCATCTTTTGCGGCTTGGCAAACAAACGGCTAGCTGCATATCTTTGAGGTTAGGGTTGTCCACGTTTATATCGAATAACTCCCGACGCGAGAGCCATAACATTACCCAGCAAGAAGTTTCCTGCTTTGACAACCGCAAAGAATAATTGGTTCAACGCGCATAGTTACATAACCTCTACTGTGAGATATTCGCACCCACAGTAGACCGTCCTAAAAAAATGCTGTTTTTAAAAAGTGCTCGGGACACATTGCCGCAGTAAACGGACTGACTAGTAGATACTAAAACGATTTTTTTCCGATTTTTTGAGTTGAATTTAGAGGTCGCGCATGAATTTTTAACGTTTTTAAACTCAAAAACTGCGATTTTGCCGGAATTAACGAGTTGCAGCCTCCCCTGGACGCTCCCTCATTCTGATGGCGCACACTGTTCCCCTCTATCCCTCTCTTGCCCCTATCACTTTGCGGGGTGTCTTAACAGCCTTTGACCCCTGTAAAATTACACCCCAAGAGAAGAAAGTAAAGTCCGAAACGGTGGTTCAGAGCCATACACAGTTGAAAAAAGTTGTCAAATTATCGTACTCTCTGTGATGACTAGCTTGTTAAAAAAACACTACCATTCGTTTTCATTGGCATGGGACAAAGTTCCTTCTATTTTGACCGTAGTGGTCCATAACAACGATTCCTACTTTTCACCATGTTGTAATATTACAACAAAACCGTTGGAATATTTGATAGTAGCAAGATATACCGTTACAGAACGAACAAGTTTGTGTTATTAAAAACTTATGGTGCTGGTAGACGTAAATGACCACTGTTTTGAAATTAAAAATTGTTTCAGAAAATTTTGTGAATGTTGTTGGATTAAAACATGTTTTGTTTTTTATCAACATTTGTTGCTATCAAACTTTGCATCAAATGTGTTCTAAATTTACAACAACTTTTTAACAGTTTACCACTACTGCTGCGGGCAATAACAGTACAGTTAGAATGTACAGGTTAGTTTATTCCTCATCAACTATTTTAAATGACACAGGTTTAAAAGCAAAAGTAACAAAAAATTGCCATAAAATATGTGAAAATCCTACAAACAGCCGTTTGGCCGATAGAGCGCGTAGCGCCGACTCCGACGGCAAGAATTCAACATTACTCTATTGTTTTGGTGTAATGTTCGTTGCTATTTAAGGTACTCCTCACGGACGCAATTTGAGTTATTATTAATCCCTTTTGGGCTATAAAAATGAATTAAGCATGCGGTTCGGACCCCCGCAAAGTGATAGGGGCGAGAGAGGGATAGAGGGAAACAGTATGCACAATCAGAACAGTGTGGGAGCGTCCAGAGGAAGCAGCAACTCGCCAATTTCCGCAAAATCGCAGTTTTTGTGTTAAAAAACGTTGAAAATTCATGCGCGACCTCTAAATTCAACTCAAAAAATCGGAAAAAAAAATCATTTAAGTATCTACTAGTCAGTCCGTTTACTGCGGCAATGTGTCCCGAGCACTTTTTGAAAACAGCATTTTTTTGGGACGGTCTAACCCACAGTCCCGAGGTGGGAAAAGCAGTTAGTCGTTTGTCTGCCAAGCTCAGAAAGATAGCCGTTTGTCTACCACGCCCAAAAAGATAGCAGCTGGTACGTGCGGAGTGTCGAAGTATTCTAACAGAATTTAGTTGGAAAAATTCTGACTTTTGGCTACAGTGTACTGAAACGTACCTACCTTAAGTACATGATTGTGAGACTACAGCGTCTGAAGGGCATAAGTGACATTTTCAACGCCATCGTGTTAAATATCCGCCACTGTGGGAACGAATCAATTGCTTCCCGTTTTGAAAACGACCCTTGAGTACCTACCTACCAGGTAGATGTACGCCAGACCACGTCTCGGGGAACAGGCTTCGCGATATAACACGAAACCAGCGAAACCTCGTTACGCTGCGACGCGCCTGATAGGTCTGCGGCCTGCGGCGCTGACACCCAAGTCGGGCAACAGCTAGAGTCCTTAATAAGCCTTCGGCCCCAAAAATCACAAAATTGGCCCTTTTATGGTTTGAACTTTGGCGAGTTTCCCTTAAGATACCATAGAGACATATTTAAAAATTCGCAATATTTTCCAAATACTGCTGAGATATCCCGATAGCACCGATTAAAATCGCATGAGACGCAATACGAGAGGCAAGTTTCAGTATTGATTGAACGTGGCCACAATTTGGTCTTTTGAGGGCGTTCTAGAATAACGTGATACTATCACCACTTTGCACATATCTTATTTTGAGTTCGAGTTAAATAAAACCATTGAGACCCAAGAAAATAACAAATTTCACAAAAAACCAATTAAGGAACTCACAATAAAGCATTCCTGTAAAGCTTAACACGCTGAAAAATGCAAGGAAGGAGAAAACGGAAATCACTATGCTTGTACATGGGACTTCCGTTTTCTTCTCTCCTGCATTCTTCTGCATTTCAGCTTCACCAGAATGCTTCATTAGCCCGTTGACTGACAATCACCCATACGTCCACGTGAGAGTCCAAATCTACTTGGATTGGTTGTTACACACATTTGTTGTCGGTTACGTTGCAGTCTTCATGGCCGCCCCTACCAGCACCGTCTACTTGCGACCCAAGATACGCATACCTCCTCATTCCTGAGCCAGGCCGCTGTGATGGGTACCGGATATGCCTCTCAGGGCGCTCGAGTGGGGCTACCTGCCCGCCCCCGCTGCTATTTAGCTACCATCTGCAGGACTGTGCCCTGCCAAACTACGTGGACTGCTAACAGCACAATAAGAAAAAGACCTGTGGCATTCCACGAAGTACTTGTTGTAATGTTAATGAGACGATTAAAAGGATAAGAGAACTGTCAGCTGTGGAGTGAGACGGCCGAGTGAGGGGGGTGTGTCACTGCGAACAGTCGCTGTGCACCTTCCAAAGAAACCATATTGGCTGAGCCGTGGTGGCTCATTTTCTCCAACAATTTCTTAAAATTCCACTAATATAGGAAAAGAAAATAACTCTAATGCAAAGTAGAAGGGGGACAAATCCCCAATGATTAATTCAAACAACAAGTGAGGCAATACAAAACTAAAAGTACATTTAAATACGAGTAAAAAAAAGCAATACAACCAAGTCTTGAATGATCAGTTATTCAGGCAAAAATGAAGAAAGGCAGAACTAAAATTACATCTAAACGCAAGTAGCAAGAAAACAACAGAACAAAAAGATCATAGCACTTCATACCCTTTATCTTATTCATTCATTTATGGGAGGTTTTCAAAATAAGAGACATATTTGGCCTCCTAAAATCTCAACAAAAAAAGTTTTGAGAATTTGTTTTTCGGGTGTGGTCTGATTGGGCCTGTCCCCTGACCACGTTCTGAAGATAACAGAGCTCCCACTGCAGAATTCTCGAAAATATAGCGAAAAAAAGAAAACTCGTGTTTAAATTGCCGGTAAACTGTGTGTACGAAAGTTACACAAAGGAAGCTGCATACGAAAGTTGAGTTTGTACGGAAGTTACATTTTCATAAAATAGGCACTTTCAAGCAGATTCTTGGTTTTATGAGCACCGGACAAAATAAGATCGACGCGTCCTAACAACAATGTTCTATCTGCAGCGTGCAGATTACACAATGTTCTATCTGCAGAGTGCTGAATAAACAATGTTCTATCTGCAGAGTGCGGAAAGAACATTGTGTAATCCGCACTCTGCACATAAAACATTGTTTATTCAGCACTCTGCAGATAGAACATTGTGTAATCCGCACGCTGCAGATAGAACATTGTTGTTAGGACGCGTCGAGATATTTTGCGAAACATAAAACGTAGGCTCAGACAAAAAGAATGATTTCTGTACGACAATAATTGGCAGAGCTACGAGCCGTACGGAATGTTACACGTATGCTTTTAAAAACCCAGAATTTAACATTCAAACACCTCTACCCTATAGATGAAATCCTAGCTGCAGTTTACTGATAAATTTGAAGGTCTGACTGAATGAACTGATTTTGCCCGCTTTAAACTAACCGACCTGATATTATCCACTTTTACCCAGTCTTACACGAACTTACAAATTAATAGTCATCATCTACCCGAGCAAAGGAGCGACTAATTCACAGCCACCTTCAGTTAAAATTAAGTTATAATCAGATATAGTGTGTACTGATTCTGGGCTGATATCTCACAGATGGTAAACTGATTTTGGCTGAGGCACACGAGTTTCGTAATTCAGTTATACTACCACTTAGTCTAGTGTTTTAACTGCGACTGATTTTAAGATGATAGATTTGACTGAGTCCTGCCGTAAGCCACGCGGATCGTTTCTCAGCTTGACTCTAAATTCCTTCAGTTCTTATTTTCAGCTAATGAAAGTAGTGATTGAACTGATGTTTGTAAAAACGACTCATCGTGGAGATCAGTTCATTCTCACTTAATTTTAGTTGTGAGCTACTGACTGAAAACAACAGCTGCACTACTGAACTTGGTAAGTATGCACCGGCCAGTCAAACGCTGGTAAATATCAGTTAGTCACTTTGGCTGAAAACCAATAACACATCAACTGATAGTCGTTCAGCTGCTCCCAGACTATTTTTACGTATTACTTGTCAAAAATCAGTCGTCCACGCAACTGAACTGCCATACCTTTCGGCTGATTTGTAAATCTCCCCCCCCCCCTGGCGGTTGCATTGCAGACATTTTCAGTTCATTTCAACCGCACTCCGTAGCGTGCCAAACCAGGGTGCGTTAGTGTGGCTGCCTACCTGCCAGCCCACAGGCACTCTCATCAAGGTTCCTCGTTTCTTTATTCAGTTTGTTTGTTTTTCCCTAATCACAAGCATTTTAATTAGTGGAAGAAACTTAGGCGAGGACGTGAATAATGTCTTCAGAAGAAGGTGAATACTCTAGTTCATAAAATAAGACATAACACATAAGAGAATACGGTGCACCATACAATACAAGAATGATGATACAACGATTTAAAAAAACTTAAGGTTATGGAATAAAAGAGTGTTTATCAAATGATTTGTGGATATGAGATAATGCTATTATTGCCTTTACAGATGTAACTTGGGTTGCTATTCAGTGGCAGCAAGACTTGACGCACCCATTCCTCTTGAACCAGTATATAAAGGTAAATTATTGAGAAGAAGAACTAATAAAAAGGAAAAAGCTCTTGTGCGAGCAATATAGCAGGTAAGCAACACTGATCAATTTGAAAATAAAAAAAATTGATGGTGCTCCAATGTCTTAATGTCTTGTGTACTTCGCTGAATTTCTAGCCAGAATTCTCGTGGACAAGGTGAAATTATTGTTAGGGATGAAATTATTCAGAGAGTGGAAGTGTGAAATTTTTTTGGTTAAATTATTTCAGTAATGATGTCATACATGGTTTGTGAATTAAAACTATAACTTGGCAATCCCAGCCAATCAAAATTGTATTATTTGGTCGTCAGTTAGGCTCTATTAGATTATTTTACACTTTCCCTTTCTGAATAACTTGAATCCTGACAATAATTCGACCTCAACTCTGAGAAATCTGTCTAGAAAGTGCAAGGCAGTCTGGGACAGGGTGGCCACGAAATCGGAGCTATTAAATTCCCTGACTTTTCCCTGATCTTTCCCTGACTTCTTACGCAAATTCCCTGACTTTTAAAGGTACTTTAAGTGGAACTTTTTGCCCCCTCAAAAATTGAAAATGCCATCGAAAGTTTGAAAATAAAAATTTTGATCAAGTTTCAGTCATTTTCCCTGACCAACGTTCAATTTCCCTGACTTTTCCCTGACTTCCCTCACTTCCAGGTTGCGTGGCCACCCTGTGGGATCACCTTTATAGAGCTGTTACAAGTTTATTTTTGTCCCACAAAGCTGCAATGGAATCAGCCTATAAAGACTCCCATCGAAAAATTGACCTCTTCCTGAGCCTGACTGACCAGGAGGTTCCTGGTTTCGAAGTGCAACGTAGGAGAAACAGTGATGACCAAATGGTTCCAGATGAGAAGGCTGAATTCAGTTCACTTTGTGATGACTGCTGTTAGTTTGCATCGTAGTGTGAAAGGTGTTTGAAATTATATATAAAATAGTTGATTTTGTAGGTACTTTATTTTCACTTGATTAGTACATAGACATATACCAGGTTAAAAACTCTAAAATCTTCTCTTAAACTGAATAAGTTAATCACTGTGGTAATATTAAGTTAAAATATGGCTTAATTAAGATTTACTAGTTTGAATTTATTCTATCTCAAGCCAATTATTTCTCTCACATATAAAACAATCCTTTCCTTCCACTTGTACTGAGAAGCAAATGTTTTTCAAAAGGTGCACATCAATAAAAGTTATTTCCTGTGAGATTGTGTAACGTGAAATATGTTTTATCTTTTTCAAATACCTATCAGTACTAAAGCCACGTACATTGATTGATTGAATAGCAGCTTGAAATGAAACATTAAGAGATGGTGTGCCTGGACTTTTCACAAAATACAAAATGATTGCATATCTCTTACTAGAATTTGAATTATAGCTGACTAAATAGGAGGCAGTTTTTGTAGCTCTTTTATAAGTCTGAGCAACAAACAGGTTGGAACCTATCTTTAGCTTATTGAAAAATATACAAGAGGGTGGATCCTTGCCTGCAAGACGTAGAGAGTTAATTACATCAACATGTACATTTTTTAAATCTATGTAGTTCCCTGCAGCATAAACATTGGGGCTGACACATTCTAAGAGCTTGACTTTTTGATGGGAATGGTGGAGATTTTTAGCAAAATCTTGTACAAGGGGGCACTCTAAATTACTAATTTCATTTGGGAATGAGAGAACCAGATAGGCACAGTTTGCCAACTGAATTTGAACATACTTTGTGCCATGAATCATTTTAAGCATTTCCCCATTCAATGACTCAAAAGGAAAGCATGAAAAACACCTCATAGGACCAAGGTTGTTGACAACAAAACAAAGATGAAGGGTGTTGTGTATGTTAATGGTCATATGACGTTCTCCATACAGCTCCTGAAACTGGCGAACAAAGGTGTCTAGCTCCTTTGAACAGAAGATTAAATCCTCAGGGGAGATTGAAGAAGAATTTAAAACATATAAACAGTGAATAAAAGTAGCAAAATGGTTGTAATACTGTACAGGGAGAATTCCCTCAAGGACAGGAAGAGCAAGGTAAAGGAGGAATATCTTCATGTGCTGCCCTTTCCACAAGCTTAGGTTGGATAGAGTGCGTACTCCACATTGCACAAAGTTTGGGAGACATACCTTCTGCATTCGATCATCAATTAGATCTATCCGACTTGAAATAGACCATGGCATTGATTTATATTTAGGCAGAGTCCACAGTTCCAGTAATTTATGACCCACACCATGGTAAGAATGATGGAGGTCGTCAATACCCATACCTCTTATCATGTCTGGCATTATTTTAGATAGATAAGTAGGCCACTTCACACCTAACACATGTACTTTATCTCTATCAGGATCCCTTGCTTTGGACCGTAAGTCAAGCGCTTGTTCACCAGCAGTCTCTGTCTCTTCATGTCGCCTTAAATCAAGGCTGTTAGAATAAGGGAAAACCCACACTGATCCTACCCTCTTCTGTTTCACACTTGTACCAGTTTTCTTAGACTTCTTTGGTTTGTTTTTTTCACTGGTTTCATTCTCACTTTCAGTAGAATCGCCATCCTCCAAAACAACTGGAATAAAAGAGAAAATTTAGACAAAGAACATTATCTCCACTTTAAGAAAATAAAAGGAGTTGTACTGCTGCATTCAACAAATTCTTGTTCCTTTCTAGTGTTATACAACTACACACCTGATTTTGTTTGAATTTCTTGATTTGCTTTAACACTTTTTCCTTCAATTTTACATACTGTACAAGAGCAAGAGCCACCTGAATGTTTAATGCCCATGAAATCAGCTTTTGCAGGCAAGTCTGCTGTCCCAGCCAGAAGGACTCCTTGAACCGTAACTTCTTCATTTGGCTCATTCAGCTGAATATCTAATCCTCTCCGCAATGTTGATAGGCTGCTGAGAAATGGTTCCAGCATCTTGCTATAGATTGGTTTGCTGCCGTACCAAATCCCACCAAGCAACACATTTGACTTCTTAAACCTCAGCTTGAAAGGAAGTTCATTTATCACAAAATAGATTGGCCACATTGATGTCTTTGATGAGTTGAACACTGGGACTCCATCCGAATTCCAAGTTAATGTAAAATTGTACTTATTTTCTGAGAAGAAGCCACTATCAACTAATTCTTTATAAAGCTGCCCATCATAGATATCTTCTATATTGTTGGGGTGTTCCTTTTTTCTTGTTAAACGCGACAAAATATTGTCAGCAAAACCTTTTCTCTTGAAGAGAGTCCTTATTTGATGTTCAAGAGGTATTTCTAAAAAATAGCTCACCTGTGTTTTGTTTTTGTGCTTTTTCTGGTTTGGGCACTTATCTGTTGAATCCTTTAGAACAATGGAACAATCAGAGCAAAAATAATGAAATTTGACAGGCGCTTTAAGATGTGAAAAGTGTTTCTTAAATAAATAGAGAGTTTTCTTCATTTTGTTGCCATTGGGTAAGTGAAGAGAAATGAGAGTGAGCAAATGAACCAAGGCTGTTCCATCTAAGTTATGTCTCAAAGCAAAAGCTAAGACAGCGAGAAGACTCGAATCAGAAGTGAGTGGCGAATCCTTATACAATGGTACCGATAAATCTGGAAATAGTTCATCATCCTTATCTTCCTCATCGGAATACAAGCAATCAAAATCATTGTCGTCTTCAATGGAGAGGCCACAATCAAAATCTAAAAAAAACAAAACAAAAAAAATTCAATTACAAATCAAGAAGTACATTGTTGTAAAAGAAGTACAAACTTTTTCTCAGCAGTCCCAGTTAGCAAGCCCACGATACTGCAGTAGCACAGCATATATTCAGTTTTATCTGTTCGCATACCGTCTTTCTCAAAATTATTTTAATACATTTCAGATAATTGTCACACAATATGTCAATGAATGTGTACTTGAGACACTGTACATTTCTAAACCAGCATTGTTATTGCTGTTCAAATGTTTAAAAAATGACATTTATTTACTATCTTGTCATGGTAACAACTGCTTCCCTCTGCCATAAAAATGGACATTGTTCTTAAATCCATAGAACCCCTTACTCCCACAGTTAGTTCAAATTATTAAATCACAGCAAGCTTTACGTAACCTTGATTATCAGAAGTTGAAAATGATTCAAGATCACAATCCTTCGTTGGGGGCTCATTAGCGTTGAACTGATGATCATCTTAAATGAAAATTGACATACAATTACTACATGATAAAATGTTGGTTTCTTTTACCTTCAGTGGACGTGAACATCTCATATTAGACAAACCACCGCAGAAAATAGAAAGCCACTTACCAGTGTTTTGCATCTCATAATCAACTATTCTACATCCATCCTTAACCGTTCCGTATTCATCAACATCAATACTGGACTCGCAGATAGAGAATGAAGCAGGTGCCTCCCTCCTACAGGTACCTGCAATATTACACAAAGAAAAATGTCACCAAATTGAACTACTTGCACAGAAATAGATAGAATGGAATAAAACTTAAAATTCTTGGTTTAAAGGATAGCAAAACATGGGGAGAGACCTGCAAGGAGTGTTGAAGCCACAACATCAGAGATAACTACGTCTTGACTTTCACCATCAACATCTGCTTGACAAAGTAAAGTTGAATAGTTGTAAAACGTTCGGTTGGTTTATTTATTAAAACAATTCGAATCATGTGACAAATTACCGATCGGAGGAGCAGGAGATAAAGTCAGAGGACTTTCGGCCGAATCTTCATCGTCAGACTCAGAGATTTCTATCACGGTATTCTCCAGTGATACGTCAGAATCAAAACTCGAACTCCTGCCTCTTTTCGACATTATTTATTATTATATTTGTACAATCTTTTGAGTACTTTACGTCTCTAGTCTAGAGATGGAACCAAGATTTGTTTTGGAGATGGCACTGTAAATAGCCCTTCTTCGAATATTGCGGATGTTTAAAAGTAAACAACTCACTAAAACGAAACTTGTCAAAGCAAACTGTATTTAAAACTAGAAAAACGATATTTATTTTCACGTTTCAATTTTATTTTATTAAATTTCTGTTTAAAAATTTCAAAAGACTGAAATAAAATTAAGACAACGGTTTTGAGAATAATCTTTAATGTTTGTAGTTGGTAATGAAACAAATGAGAAACTCGCTTATCCAAGATGACCACATTGCGATTATAGTTCAAGTAGAGAAGTGCAGAAAAAATTAATTTCTGAAGTACTGTATTAGTTTGTGAAGTTGTATTTACATTACTGATATTCATAATT